CACTTCATATTCTTGCTTTTCAGATTTTAGTAAGATATTCAAATACAGATTTATTCATCTCGGGGGAGACGAAGTGAACACGAGTGAGTTTCATCTTTGAGTTTTTTTACCATTAATAAGATTTCACCTTCCGTCTTTATCTGCAAAAAAATATACTCCGTATATGTTTACCAGATGAACGATGGAATTACTGAAAGGTGCGATATGGGGTTTTAACTGCAGGTTGTTGGACATCAACTCCCCGTATAAACAAGTGGTAACGTTTGATATAACAATACCGTTTGCATAGAGGAATTCTATTTGCACTCTCACCCGAGAGTACAAATTGCACTCCCAATCATATTGTGACATGTAGACAGTCGTAAAAGTGGGGAGAATGGGCGCAATTTGCAACCTCTGGGTGAGAGTGCAAATAACATTTCTCCGTTTTCATTCGGTGATGAAGACCCAACATAAATTGAAATCATTTGGCGACCTTTTCAATAGGTTAAAGAAACGCCAATGGGATGGACCCCTAGCATACCAATATTTTGTCTTGAGAGCACAGAAGATTGCTTTATCCCATGGCTATGATGTTATAAACTGGTAAGCGAGACCCTACTTTGTGTGGGATTTTACTGAGTTTGTTGTTGTCGTAATTTCAAGTGTTAGACTACATGATAATGCAATATATGTTTAAAATGAAACAAAATTTTCAGGGAAGAGACCTTCAACAATTTCGGCAAAAAACTGAGTCCCAAAACTGTTGTCCACAACTGGTATTGTATAGCAAGTCTCTTTTTTATGACAAGAGATTTTTCTTTTTGTTTTCTTTTTTGAGCCAAACGACTTCCTTGAGAAAAACACTCTAAATCAACACGACATCCTCATATAATCAACATTTCTAACAGGCTTGGTTCTGGTGTGGCTCAACAAGTGGTTGCTGCAGGGTTGCGGTGCATCGTGAGCAACCAAGACAAGTGGTATCTTGACCATTTAGATGCCACGTGGCAAGGTTTTTACACGAATGAGCCACTCGCTAACATCACCGACCCAAAACAGCAGGTGTTAGTTCTTGGTGGGGAGGTTTGCATGTGGGGAGAAAACATTGATGGTTCAGATATAGAGCAGACAATATGGCCCCGCGCTGCCGCCGCCGCAGGTAACCTTTTTTTTCTCACCACACCTAAAAGCCAATAGCCGTAGGTGCAATGCGCGTGCACTATGCAGCCCAACAAAAAATCATCCCAAAATTGTATAATTAGAGCAAAGTTTGAATAATACTGGATTAAGCAAACAACAACAAAGAACAAACCCAGTATAATCCTGCAAAAATAGGGTTTGGGAGGGCGTACTCCTAAAACATGAACAAAGAATGAACATAGACAAAAGAAGCATACAAGCCGACTCTATGAACAAGACATAAAGCACAAAATCATAATAATGAATTAAGCATGAACTAAATAGTTTAGAAATTACCAAAACATGGGTTGGGTCTTGAAGTAGGCCCAGGTTGAAAGCTGAACCCCATGCCCACACCTAAAACAAATATATTGGTTGATGTGCTAGATAACTAACTCCTGTTTTTTTTCTAACAATCTTGTTGAATGAATTAAAGAGAGGCTATGGGCATCATATGACAACCTCGCCACGGATCCGCTTAAAGCTGCTGGAAGGCTGTCACACTTCAGGTGCCTGTTGAACCAAAGAGGAGTGGGTGCTGCCCCGCTGTTCGGTTTAGGCAGAGAAGCACCATTAGAGCCAGGTTCTTGCCATTTGCAATAGATCATAGGCAAGGAACAAACTGTACCATTATCATCAACTTATACTTGTCTCTCTTGGATCATCAAATGTAATGTGAATCTGTTGTTAATAATCAATTGAAATGACAATGTTTCTTATTGTGTTCCAATGCACCTTTTTTTGTACATGGCAACAAAACAATGGAAGCCTGGCAAACACTGATCAGGGTCTCCAAGGTGGAGATGGTGGCGGAGTTGTTGGGTATAACGGCGGAACACTAGAGAAAATGGTGTTCTTGTCCACCCCAGACCCTCCGCTGGTGGTTAGAGACACAAGTGCCGCAACCAAGCCTGCATTTCCAGCCAAAGTAGGCTCAGTGTAGGCATAACTGGTGCGCGAATCTTGAAACTGATCAAACCGGTTCGGGCCACCAACCATGGCGCCAGTTATGTTGCTTGGGTTGGGATCTTTGGTGTCTCGCCACTTCCACCCACCCGTGCACGAGTACTCCATCTTGTTGTTTGGTATGGACGCCCCCCGGTGATGAACGTGTCTGGGAAATCTGGCTCCATAACCCACCACATAGCTCAACTTCAACGGATTCTCACCTAATATATAATTGATCTGCATTTTCCCAACACATTTCATCAAACACTATAGGTTAAACATTAGTGATTCTTTCTAATGAAGATTACAAACCTGGGAAGCAGCAAAACCGCGAAGAACATCCAACCCGATAAAGTAAGGACCGCAATTCATTCCAGGGATATAAGTAGCTTCCATATAATCAACAAACAGAGATGCCAAGAAGGCTGCATTCACAACATACTGCAACGGTTGGCCCTGCCCGTGGTTCAACTGGATCAACCCGCCTGCAAACCGATTCACAAATCGATCGATTCAAACTTGATGCAGTTCAAAAGGGGAATCAGAAGATAAGAGAGTTAGAATTTAGCTTTCAATCCTTACCTAGTGTGAAATTGAAGACATTAAACTGTTGGAGGTAAGAGCACATTGTGAGAGTGGTGACATTGTGATAGCTCTGCAACATTTCTTCGTACGGGTAACCCGGATTCAATATGATCCGTAATCGGGTCAAGAGCAGCATTGCCCCGGGCAGCTTGTTATCCCAGCTCAGAACGCTCAGATCTGGATTAACCGCTAGTGCATTCGCATTAGCGGCGACTCGGGAATCGGTGGCCAGGGATAGGTAACTGCTATTCCCGGTGGCGTAGTACAGCCAGACGGCGGCCCAGAGGTACTCGTCGAAGTATCCGGTGGAGTTGTAGTAGGGCTCGATGTACGGATTCCCGCGGCTGTAGGTCGATCTCTTGCCGCTATCCCTGGCGAAGGCGAACAGGGCTTCTGCGCCGTCGGAGAGCTTGGCAGAGTACGCCGCGTCGTCGCGGAACACGATCGAAGCCGCCGAAAGCGCGGCCGCCATTTCTCCGGCGAGGTCCGGCCCCGCGTACGCCGTCTGGACTGGGCGGGCGTACGCCATGTCCTCCGCCCTCTGCCAGCAGTAATGGTCGTCCGGCGTTTTCGAGCCGTTACGTGACCCGCCCACCTGGCTGTAGATTTTGCCAACCGGGGAAGCAGAGGAGTTGAAAGTGCGGAGAAGATAATCGGTGCCCCAGCGGATGAGGCTCCGGACGTGATGATACTCTCCGGTGGCGCGGAACTTGTGCTCGTACTCTATCGCGCTCCAGCTCAGCATCGTCATGGCGAAGGACATCGGAAAATGGAATTTGGTGTTGTCTCCGGCGTCGTAGTACCCTCCGGTCAGCCCTCCCTTCCCGTCCGCCGTCACATTTGCGCCGTCCCTCAGCCCTGAATCTCTTCTCCACGGGATGCCATTGTTCTTCGGCAGCTTCCCCGCTACACAACAATAACCGTATATAACATGCATGCACATTGTACCATTTCAAGCATGTCTATTCACTTAAACTTTTTTTGTTCTCTGAAGATTACTCCCACCGTCCCGATAGGACATATTGAGTAAAGTGGTAAAATAAGGAAGAGATAATTTTGCGTTGATTTTCCAAAAATACTTTTAATGTGATGTGTAAAAATAGGATGTGATGTGTATAAATTATTAAGAAAAAAGTATGATGTGATAGGTTGAGTATGAAAAAATAAGGGATAAAAGTGATTTTTAATAGAAATGAGAAAGACTTTTAGGGATACGATTTTTTTAAACGTGAAAGACCTTTTGGGATGGGGGAAATACTTAATAATGTTTAGTGTGAGAAATAATGTCCAGTAATAATAAATATTTACTTGAATAATGACTAGTAGATACTGATCAATAGTCCTACATTGGGAAATAAAAATATATAGTCTTATATTGAATAATTCATTATGCTTTAGTCTTATTTAGGTAAATTTTTCATATGACAAATTGTTTAGGACAAGCAATTGATTATGAACCAATGGTCTATTTATTAGGGTAAGCATTCCAATAGTTAGAAAATCATTTGAGTATACGAAAAATTTATTGGATTCAAAATTTCACATTTGAACGTTAAAACTTTAACTCTGACATTGGGATGTAGATAGTACTCCCTCCGTCCCGTGAAACATGAGACATTTGCTTTTTAGGAGGGATTTAAGGGAGTGTATTTTGGTATTGAATTTTCAAAAATGTCCTTTGATGTGATGAGTAAAAGTATGATTTGATGGATAGATTATTAGTAAAATCGTATGATGTGATAGTTGAGTATGAAAAAGTAAGGGGTAAAAGTGAGTTTTTAATAGAAATGAAAAGTGTTTTGTGGGACGGATAAAAAAAGAAAGAGGAAATGTTTCACGGGACAGAGGGAGTATATTTAATAAACGTTGTTAATGAGATCTAGGACCCGTTTGGCATCAGCGTCAGAGATTAGTGTTAGCGTTTTGAAAAAGCTATCCGACGGTAGCCTTTAGCGTTAGCGTTTTCAGAATTAATCTGCACCGTTAAAATTTTATCCAAAACGCTAACGCTAATCGAAAACGCTGTTACCAAACAAAGCCCTAAAGTGTAGAGTACTTATTCGTTAATAACATTTATTAAAGTTCTCATCCGATCTTAAATAAATTCAATTGCTCAAAATAATTCAGGACGCTACAGTCACTTAGCATTTTCGAAGTTAATCTGCACCGTTAAAATTTTATCCAAAACGCTAACACTAATCGAAAACGCTATCCTGAAACTGGCCCTTTAAAATGCTAAAACTAAACACTAAAGCTGTTGTCAAACATGGAACCTATCTATATCTATATTTATACTCGGTATAAAAGGTGGATAGCCAAAAGATATACTCATATACTCCCACATTTCTAAAAAAAATCATTTCACTCTCGTTTTTTATCCGTTCAAAAAAATATTTCATTTTTAGTTTAAATAATTTAATTATCAATCTAATAATTTTTAGCCTACATATTATATCAAATCAATCACCATTAATTTAGTCATCACTATATTTTTGCTAAATGAATTTTGGGACGAGTGTTTCATTGTACATACGCCGTGTGTCTATCTATTAAGAGACTAATTAATAAAAAAATTACAAACTGATCATTTCCATATATGTAGAATAATACTACATACATAGTAATTTAAATTAAAAACAATAAAATATATTACTCCATCTAAACCTAAACTTCATATTTTCTTTTTTTTTATTTTTTGGTAATTTTAAAATATAAGAAATGAAACTAAATACTCCGTATTGTGACTTGCAATTATTTTCTTAAAAGAAAAAAATAAGGAAAAGAGTAATTAAAATGGATAGCCACCATAGTTTTTTTTCCCTAGTAAAGGGGGGACGGGACTTTGGCTTGCAATAGACGCATGCATTATTATTATTATTATTATAAAGTGTTTCATTCATGAATAATTCTACACATTGCCGAAACTAACGGCACCACGGGGTGAATGGTTTAGAGCGAATATTGCTAATTAAGGCAATTAATTTAACAACTTTTATTACTTTTCCCATCTTTAATATTCTACCACTAATTATTCGCTGCTTTACTCTTTTTTTTCCATCCAAATTAAAACTTCATTATATATATATATATATATATATATATATATATATATATATATATATATATATTGAATTCCATTGGTAGTAATTAACTCTTAGCTTTATAATACGGAGTATTGATTTGATGCATGCGATTAATATGGATCTTGACTAAACACTAATTTCATGTACTACGTACCGTAATACTCTCTCTGTTTCTCAAAATTGTTCCTATTTTGACTTTGGAAAAAAAAAGGAAAGTGTAATTTTAGTTGATTTTCCAATTTTGCCACTGATATGATGTGTAAAAGTAAGATGTGATAGTTTAATTATTAATGAAAAATTATGATGTGATAGATATGGTATGAAAAAATATGGGTAAAAGTAGTTTTTTAATAGAAAAGGGAAGTGTTTTAAGAAAAACAAAAAAATGAAAGAGGAAGGATTTTAAGAAACGGAGAGAGTATTAAGCATGTCTAAATTAATAATGAAAACTTTATAAGATAATAAATAATTCAGAATGTGTTACAACTAACTATGTTTAGTGACTTAACAATATTTTATACATGTGATTGATCATGATCATTATCAAAGTGGACCGAATGTTAATATAATTGATTTGTGGGGGGGATATATTTATGAAGTGCGGTTCAATAATTTATTTACGAAAATGGAAACATGACAATTATTTAGAACTAACTAACAAATTAAAAAGGAAATGTGATCGTGAATAACCACGTAATTAATTACCCTAACTTAAAATGAAATTTGAGCAATATACATACTAATGAATGGGATTGACATAATTGTTAATAAGCATAATTTGTGAGATTGTGACTTGGGTAACTATTCATTGTTTTTTTCCTTAAAAAGAGACTCGGGGAAAAAAATTGAAATAACTCAAATAATTAATAGCGGACATAGTTAAACACGGAGTAATAAAATTGTTCAGACATACTCGTAAACAAATACCGGAGTAATTATTAAATCTTCCGATAATTAATTGATCTCAAATTAATGGAAAATCGAAACGCAATAATCTTAAATTATATATTGAACTCATGGTCTTGATCAAAATTAATTAGAGCATAAATACGTAATACATTTGGAAACAACCTTAGGGGTTAGAATTAACCTTTTTTAAGACATATTTTTTCTATTTCGAAAAATAATTCCACCCGAAAAAAACTGTGCATTCCACGAGATATTTCTATCTTACCTAAAATGTTTGAAATACCCTAAAACAATATTTCTTTTTACAGGATTAAGAAGAATTGTGGTGTGTTTACGTTCGTTAGAGATTGTAAAAGTGTTTTGTGAAGCACAAAAAAAATAAGATGAAACTGTTTTCTAAATGAGCAAGGACCTGTTTGGGAATAACATTAGAGATTAGCGTTTTGAATAAAATTTTAACGGCGCAGATTACCTTGAAAACGCTAACGGTAAACCCTGTCCGTAGGTAACGCTTTCAAAAAGCTAACGCTAATCTCTAAGGTTATTTCCGAAGAGGCTTCGAATATACATTTAATTTATGTAAATGATTACTTACATTTTTGGGCGTTGAAGAAGAGGAGGGCGGGGTGAAGGGCGGCGGAGTAGTTGTCGGGCGGCGGGGGACGGGGGCGGTGGCGGGGCAAAACCCTGACGATGACGGTGGGGACGGCGAAGACGAGAAAGGCGAGGAGGAAGGCCCAGAAGGAATAGGCGAGCGCCTTGTGGGAGCAGACCACGCACCCCAAGTCCACGTACTTTTTCCTCCTCTTACTGTCCGGCGAGGCGCCGAGCAGCCAGCTCTGCTGCGTCTCGTCCAGGTCGGCGTGGCGGTGGTTGGTCGACGACCGCTGCGTCCCCGACGCCCTGTCCCACTCCTCCGTCGTCGTGGTGGACGACTCCGCCGCGTTGTTGGCGCAGATCTCCAACGGCGGCCCTCCCCAATGCTGCCCCGAATGCATTTCACTCTTTGATCGACTCTCTCGATCTGTTTTGTTTCTTTATAAAAATATGGCTAAACTAATTTCAAGAATGTTATATGTCTATACATATTTATACCCGGTCCACTCTCTTGTTTCGTTTATTTATAAATTTTAATTAGAATTCGTTTTTTTTTCCTGAAAAGGTGTATCTGTATTAATTTGTGTTGGGAATATATAGTTAGCGAAGGGGTGTGACAATCAATACATTTGCATTTTACGAGAAAAAAAGAAAGAAAGAAAGAAAGGGAAAAGAAGATGCAATGGAAGAGGCCACGGGCATGCATTGTCTTAATTGAGAGAAACCGCACTCATGAACCAATTAACCAAACACTCCTTTGTCTCTCTATTAATTCAATTTAGTTTGTTTCTAATTAAACGAAATGACTTTAATTATCACTTAAAAGTGTACTATATCGATCTGTTATTTTTTAGTTTTGATTTTTTTTTTAATTTATCCATTTTTTTCTTTTGATTTCAAAATAAATAGAAATTAAATGTTACTCTCTTCGTCCCAAAATAATCTTTAATGTCATTTTTATTTACTTAATAATAAAAATTTATCTATTTATAGGGTGCGTGGTTTGGGCCCTGTTTGGCATTGACATTAGAAATTAGCGTTAGCGTTTTGAAAATGCTATCTAATGGAAGCCTTTCAGCGTTTTTACGAATTAATCTACACCGTTAATATTTTATCCAAAACGCTAACACTAATTGAAAAAGCTCTTCTCAAACAAGGCCTTGGTATTTACACACTACATCGCAAATGAAAATATGAATCTGCGCGTATTAATTAATGTTGTTACCATAGACAAATTAATGTTTGCTTTTAATCTTGCCATTTAAGGGATACGAAATATACTCCCGATATGAAACATACTTTAATAAAAATTAAAATAACTCCCATATTTTTATCCCAAAATAAAATTAATATCTCTATACACCGCCAAAATGTCACTATGTCACTCTATAATGTGAGACGAAGCTACAATGCCTATGGTGGTAATGCATATGATCAAGCATAACATTGAACAATGTTGATTCCATCAACATTGTATAATGTCAAAAAAATTATAAAATGTCAAGAAAAAATGTGATTTAATTTGTCTACATAAAATGTCATATCCATCACTCACCACATTCAAGTAGTGAAATATCCATTTAACACTTTTCTCTATTTATCCTAATATAGAGTAGTACTTAGCAAATTCTATTTAACAAGACAAAACTCAATGGTTGGAGATGTTTTTATTATGCTCGTGTATAGAGCCACTTGTAATTTTTAAAACCAGATCGGGCCGACCGGTTCAAACTATGAACTGGCGAACCGATGTTTTGACTGGAATATGCATTGAATCGGTCTGAATCGGTAAGAACCATCCGGTTGAACCAGTCTTCTTTTTTTTTTTGTGAATATGTATTCAAAAAAATTTATCCAAGAGGACGTTCGAATATAAAATCTCTTAGACACCTAGTTTAGTTGTAGACTATCTAAGCTAGAATATTTTTTGTTGCACTTTAGTTTAATGTTTCTAACTATTTAATACTTCTTCCGTCCTTGAGTATTTGTCCATTTTTTATTTTTTCAGTCAAAACTGGTAAATTTTGACCTCAAATTAAATAAAAACGATATTAGACATTATTGATACACAAATAATTTTATTAGATTTAATATATCAAATATTTTCAAAATATTACTTTATCTAATTAATATACAATATATATTTTATTTAATTATAGGTCAAAGGTTGAAAATAGTTGACCGAGAAAAGTCAAAGCTGAACAAATTGTATAGTAGTTAAAAACTAAAGATTCTTAAGGAATTTATTTATTTATTTAAAAAATTTAAAAAATAAATTGTTATAGGTATGATTTAAATTATAAATCATTGATATACTCCGTATTTAATATTATTACAAAATGCATTCATGCAAATATTTCATTTGAGTATTTTTTTAATATTGAGTTAACTTATTTGAAAAAATAAAGTCACCTATTATTTTATAAAATATTTAATATTATTTTAAAATATGTAAATTTTTTAAATTTAGTGACCTAAATCAAATACATTAAATTGATTATAATTTTTGTCAACTGTCATATATATATATATATATATATATATATATATAACCATTGGATCAACTACTCAAAGCACTGGTTCGACCAGTGAACCAATGCCTTAACCGGTTCGGTAGCCGGTTTGTTTTTTAAACTATGGAACCACTATGTAGCTTAGATCTATATGAATGAATTTTTTTTTGTAAAAGTGTCTCAATATCGAATTTATTTATTTTTTTCATTTAAAAAAATAAATTGTGTTATCATATAGTTATACTTCGTAATAATATACATACTCCAATTAACAAATACGGAGTAAATTAAAATTGGGGAATTGCGAGTTACATTCTATAACTTGTTATTGACACTCCAAAATACACTACTAATGTGAATGTTGTAATAACGTATTTTGGAGTGCCAATAACAAAAAAACATAGATTGCAAACTTCTCTTAATTAATACTCCGTAAATCTTTTACTCCATAAATCTTTACTGCGTATGTTAAATTAATAACAAGTGAAATTAATTAATACTCGTAAATCTTTACTGCGTATGTTTAATTAATTAATTAACATGTTGAATTAATAAATCCTTATGTAATTAGATTAAATTAATTGGGTGAGTCGGGCCTCCACTCCTATTATTTGGCAACAGAGCCAACAGTAGTATCATCAAATGACGAACAAGAAGAGGAGGTGGAGACGCATGGAAGAAGGTTTAGGAAGGGATTAGTGGACATAAGAACTATTAATTTTTCAAACGCAGCACGGTACATTACCCAAAAATGCAGAATTGGCACAAAATATTTGGCACGGATAGTGTCGTGCCAAGCCCGCGAAGAAGAGCGAGCCACATGGCGCATTCTTATTCGCTCAGTATATGACACGGACCTATCTGTGCCTACAATTATTTGTAGTGAAACAACAATCCCAAGCTCTTTCCATGCCATCTTTGATACACTATTATGCTTGTAGTTTAAGATATGAGTTTATAATTCCCATCATCTCACTCCCGGAGAATCGCCCAAGGCAACCTCTTGCCGCTGCTACTTCACTGAACTCCCCCACAGAGTCCCCACCAAAACCCTCTGCTCGCTTCTTTTCGGCTCCCAAATCAGCAGTTAAACTTTCGCTGGCATTGGTAGTTGGAAGGGGGAATGGATCCAGTGAGGTTTCTAAGAGGACTGCCTCTCCCCCGACCGCGCCCACAAAGTCCTTCAGACTGCACAATGCAAATGGGACAGGTTCGAAGCTGTGGTCCCCATACTCGACGGGTGTAGAGTGGTCCCCTGTGACACAGAGGAAGAACTCGAATTTGCCCGATGATTGTGCTGACCATAGAAGTTTAGCAAGCTGCCCTAGAGCACGATCTACGGCTTCAAGTCCTCTTACTTTGAAAACACTTGCTTTGTCATGACCAGCATCGTCTATTGCCTACAACCCAAAAAATAAAATCTTCACCGTCTGGTCATTTGAGAGATCAAGCAATAAATAAAGACTAAGAGATACAAATATAAGTAACATTTAGAAAAGTTCTAAGCAAACTTGATTTTCTTTCACAACATTCAAGCTAAAACGAAACATCAAAAACGATTTTCATTATTACTTTTTTTTGTTTATTTCCTACCGTTTCGTGAGTTCCTAAAAGCTTGTGGAGTATGGGTTTTTATGTTTGGTTTTACCTGTAAATCTCCAAACGAAAACAAAATTCAAATAAAACTATTTAATTTTTTAGATAAATTAGATTCACTAGTCTTTATATAATAAAAATAATTAAATAAAATGGGTTCGAACAAATATCTACTTTGGGGGCAGCTGCTCCTTCCTTTCAAATTTCCTCTTTATTTTCCTCCCTATTTTCTTTCCCTACCGTTTTCAATGTTCCAGACCTCTATTGAATTTGTATCAATGGAAACTTCTGACACAATAGTTTTGGCTACTCCTCACACATCTGAGAAACAAACACAATGATCTTATAATATATCACCTTAATGTGAAGAAACCCGAAGTCATAGCCATCAGATATACCAGGCTTGTGCTCATCTTCACCAGGAACAAAAATATTGGGGCAAGACTGCAGAGGAGCAGAGAGTGCATTGGCTATGGCAGTTGCTTTGGATGTTAATATAGTCCGGTAATCTCCAGTCGCCCCAGGAGCTTCTAGTATATCAATCCCAAGCGACAGACCTAGCCCAGCTATTATCTTGGTAGGAGCAACCATGCATGGCCTGAGCCCATGTATCTTTTCAAATGGAGGAACCTAGACAGAAAGAATGATGCACAGTCCACTTGAGAGTTGACAATCTAGCAAAAGATGAAAAATGCAAGGAAAATTGTTTTCTTATATTTGGTTTTGCCTTGGAAAATTCAAACAAAAAAAGTGATCGTTTTAAAAAATTTGTTAAATCAAAATGTCACATGAAACTTCCCTTCTTACTTTCTATGAAGGTTTGGATAGTAAATGCAGCAATGCATCTAGAGTCTAACGGAAACATCTTGATCCCCAGATCCCAACGGAGTTGGGATTATATTGGGTTGTTATTGGTGTATATATTGGGTTAAATTATACAGAGTAGACATTGAAAACCTTTGAAATGAGTTTTTAAAAAATCTTAAATAAACTAATTGAATATTAGCACATCTTTCATTTTCCTACCTAACTTTCCTATATGTTTCCTTCCTTACTGCTCTTCATAGCAATTTCCTATTTCAGTTCCCAAATAGGCGTGAGCAGTTTCGTGTATCATAGATGAATGCAAAAAAGGAAGAAAGAAAGTGAGCAAAAATACCTCAATTCGAATGCCACAGCCTCTTAAGAGGACAACATTGGCAATGCTCTTTCCTTGAGCCAAACGCTTTGCATTAAGCGGATGGGAAACAAGAATGCGGGACATCTCTTTAGAAAGTTCATTAACAACTGCAGCGGTGTGATTTGCCTCTTCTGTATCATCAAGAGCGTGGACTTGTAAAAGAAGGCGGTTGTCCTTCAATGGGTCAGTTCCTGATATGTTTCCACTTAACTTTGGTCCCTTTACCACCACACCACACCTGTGCTCTGTGGCATACCTATAATAACACCATCATCATCATCATCAATAACCACAACGGTGAATCATCATCATAGTTGTGATACATTTTTACAACAAAAATCTTAAAGAAAAAAGTCATAGGATTTGCAATCCATATTAAGTTGTCCAGTGTCGCCCATTTTTATATTGAGGTGACATTCAAACCTGAAATTTTAGGTAAATGGTAAAGCACATACACCTGACTCTAACTTCATATTCAGGAAAAGAAGGTAGCTTCATTCCATCCAAAGCAGCACAAAAAACTGGACCTTCTTCTTCAAAATGCCTATCGGCCCTCCTACTTACCACTACCCCAGTCGCCACATCTAGGGTTGCAAAGTTTGACTGTGATAGCAAAAACCAGAATAAGGCAAGAAAATCGATGAGTTATGAATCATTTGATGCACATCATACGAGAAAATGAAGAAAATAAAACTGTTGAAGAGTGCCTAGTGCATCACATGTGCGAATATATAAAATAACAAGCTAACATATAAAACTGTGTTTACTGCCCCTAGTAGGTTTGACCTCATATGATGTAACCGAAGTCTTAATAGAAACTATACTGAATGACATTCAATAAAGGATGATTGAGATTGGCAAAATACAAGAAAAGAAAGTGAATCTAAGACGTTATTCAAGAAAGGATGAATACACACACACACAATAAATAAAAACCTTAAATGCAATATCACCGGGTGACATTGCCAGGCCAGCCCCCATAGACTCAAAAGCACCTCTGCCCCGGTAATACACCCTTGGATTGTAACCCAACAAAGACAAATGGGCAGTGTCACTTCCACATGCTAGGCCTACTTCAACAGGATCCATCATCCCGTTAACTCCTGCAGACGCTATAGCATCCAAATTCGGAATCTTGGCTGCTTGCAGAGGAGTCCGGTAACCAAATCTTGGCAGAGATACATCTCCCAACCCATCAATAAGCACGAAGGCCACTCTTTTCTTTGGTTGTTCAGGGCCACCCATTTTGATGCAATAAGCCACACAAACTCTTCCTCTGCAATTCAACAATTAAACACAAAACCCATATAAAAACAGTGCCTATTTTTTAAAAAAAAAGAAAACATGCAAATATGCCACTTTCCATGCAAAGAATCACACACCAACTGATAGCAAGAGTTTCTTCGACTTATTTTCTTCTTGGGGGTAGGCATGGAGACATATCAGATATTCCCTTTTGTTAGTTTACCTCGAATCTGATTCTATGGAAAGATATTCTTCAATAACGAGGAATCTGATTCTAGTTTCTCTAGACTAGTTTCACTTTCCAGGGTGAGGAATTATTTTATGCATTGACCAAAACTTTCCATGGCCTAATATCACTGCAAACAATGGAATCTAATTCCTCACTTTTAAATTTGATGGAAAGGTAATGACTTTCCATGCCAACAAATGGTTTCTAAACATACAGCCATTTCTGATAAAAACTCCATGAGATCAAAAAGCCTATGAACTCAAGCTACAATTGTGGTACATCAACACAAATCATCTCCTCTTAAAGTGAAGTAGATTTTCTCCATTCATAGAATCAAACCGTTAGCTATAAAAGATGATTTCATAGACTAATTTGAATAGTCTTTTGGTCCAAAAACTTGGGCATGTATAACCTGGCATGCACCAAAAAACATGTGAAATGAAAATTTCAAATATGAATAATTAGAATAGTCTTTTGGTCGAAAAATATGGGCAAAAAAGAACTCCGTGACAACTAATAGATTAAAGATGTAATTGAAACAGACAAGAAAAAGATGGAGAACTCACCAGCCACCACTAAAGTCTGAGATAGAATGAAGATATTCTGGAGATGGAAGTGCGAGAGCGGACACACATTGGTACCTCTCAATGGGTTTTCTCTCGCGGTTCTTCCACGTTTTTTCGCTTTCTCTCGCGGTTTCTTCCACGTCTCTCGCTTCGATCTTGGAGGCTGGAAGTGTTTAGCTGATTGCTTTGGATGCAATAATCTGAGTTTGCCCAATCGCCAAAAGTATGGTGGTGCTGGATTCCAATTCCAAGATCCTGAGGATGTAACAGATTTGAAGGGTGGATTAGTCAGCTAGCTACAGTGCACCTACCAATGACTCGCCTCCCTATTGTTTACCTTTTCTTTTTTTCTCTTTTCCTCTATGTTGCTCTGGATCTGCTCTTCCGCGGCAGCGACCGACTCTCTTCTCCCTCTCATGCGCTCTCCTTCTTACAAACCGGCAGATAATCTCTTCTTTTTCTTATCTTCCTCTTCATATCTCTGATGCGCCAACCCCTATAGCACGACAATTCCTCTGTCAATCTCTTCTCTTCATTCCATTTTTAGTCAATTTCTATGGCAATGATTTTTTGAATTTTTGTAGAGTACATAGGATATTTGGTGATTATGGACTTACAAACATCTATTGTTACACATGTTGAGAATGAGCAACCACATGATTTTGGTGGTGAAGAAGAAGACCTGGTTTTATATGAGTTGCAGCCCAGTTGTAAGTGTTGACATTTAGACCCCATTCTATATTCATTTGAAGTAGTGAAAAAAAACTGTTTTGTTTTCGTATTACAGAGATTAAAGTTCTGTAAATCTAGGGTTTGTCCTTGTCACAGACGCTAATTATCTGTATGAACTCTGCATTTGGTGTATTATTGTTTTCTTCATAGTCAGGTATTTTATTATATTAAAGGTACTGTTTTTTGCAGCTTTTGAACCAGATTTTGTTCTAAACGATCCTTGCTTTCAGTATTTATTTAACGACGAAGGGCAAGAACAGGCGAGTGGTGAGATCAGACAAAACACAGATGACATTAACAATGATGTCCGGAACAATGGTCAATGTCCTTCTAAAGGAAACAAAGGTAGCGTGCCTGAAGTGGGGATGAAGTTTACAAGCATTGAAGAAATTCGAGAACACTATCTGGCTTATGCTCGAAGTGTAGGATTTCCAATGCGGACTAGGACAACTCGCAAAGCCAAAGATGGAACTCCTAGAAGTGTTACATTTGTGTGTAGTCGACAAGGAAATAAAAAGAGCAAAACACAAGATGTGTTCCACCCTTTTTGCTTTTTGCTTTTTGTGTAAAGTATGTAACAAGTATGATAACTTTCTCTGAGTTCCCTGCACATAAACTAATGTAAACCTGATATAACTCTGTCTTCACATACATTAGGTCTCTGTGAAGTCTGTGACATAGACAGTTATTCCATGTGAGCACCAAGAAATCTAATGTATGCGTTTTAACTTTGTTTTTAGCTATACAAGACCCTCAGATATGTGATGAGATTCTGAAGATGGTTTATGTGCATAACGTTAAGTAACTCTGTCGTCACATACATTAAAACTCTGTGTAATGGGTAAAATAGACAGTTAATCTCTGGGAGGGATCTGAAAGAAAATCTGTAATTCAATCATAAACTAAGGTAAATCATTCATCACATACAGTAACAGATTGTGCATTATCAAGTAGAAATTCATGATTATAAAAGCCCCATTACAAACAAAAAAAAATCTGAAGTGCATAACATTATGTAACTCGGTCACATACGTTGAAGCTGTGTAACAGGTAAAATACACGGTTATTCTCTGTGAGGGCTCTGAAAGTAAATTTGTAATTCAGTCATAAACTAAGGTAAATCATTCATAACACACAGTAACAGATTGTTCATTAACAAGTAGAAATTCATGATGCTAAAGGCCCCATTACAAAGCTTTCAAAAAAATCTAAAGTGTTTCCCCAAAAAATACATTACAAAACACAAAAACCATTACAAAGAGTTTCACAAAAATTAAAGATCCCTAAAATTGTAAATTAAATATTGGTTGTTTTCCTTCCACGCCATAACCTAGCTGCAAATTGACATCGGAAATCAGCCATGTGTTCAGAACTGCAGTCCGGACTTAATGGTAAGCCAAACAACAAAGACTCTAGAAATGCTAGCACCATCACTCCAGAATTGCCATACCTGCAAGGGAAATTAATATTAAAATAAGTAGGGAGGTATGATTTTCACCACCATTGGAGTACCATAACGAAGTAATGGCGAACAAACCTAGAGTCCTATTGCGGAATATCATTGACAACAATTGTTTCCCATTCCTTCTCCAAAGTGTTTGCACCCACACCCTTAACCGTGCGAAGTAGGGGGTATTCTTCTTACTACTTGAACGTAAAATGAGAATTTCAGCCCTTTCAAGGAGTCATGAGATACAATTCACAATAAGCAATCAAAAATAACAAGCAGACGTCTTCTTTCACAGACAATAATGTTATATGAAGTTCAAATAACAGAACTTAACCATCTATGCCATACAATTCACACTATATGCCAAAATAACAAGCAAACCTTTTTCACAAACAATAATCTTATATGAAGTTCAAATACTCTAAAAAAACATGCTTCTTGATTAACCCACATCAACTTGATCACCTTGCACACCCAATTTCAAAGTCTTTTTCTTTGTATTGCTAAGCGATGAACGTGCTGGTAAAGTTAACTGCCCAGAATGTTAAAATTCAGCACTAAATGTAGTAAAGAATAACTTTTTTAGAGAATGCTGTGAACTTGGTTCCCCTGGTTGCTATCTTCTGCTAAGTTTTGAAGAAATCAATTTTTTTAAAAAGAAGTAAATCTTAAGTATATCATAAACTGGATCCTTGAACTGCCCGTGATTATTACTTTTTAAACCATAATTAGGGCATATGGTCTTTGATACTTCGGAACTGTTCGAAAATCATTAATTACTACGGAGTATTTACTAAAGACGCTAAAATTCCAATATAGAATAAGATCCGAGATCCGAACCCCCCTAGGGTTTATATCAATTTTAGAAACAGAGAGAGATGAAGAACGAGACCAAGGAAAGGAAAGTTAGCGTCAGTACCTGTTCGGAGGGGTGGGGCTGTCGGCGCTGGAGTTAGAGGGGTGGGGCTGCCGGCGTTGGAGCTGGAGGGGTGGGGCTACCGGCACTGAAGCTGGAGGGGTGAGGTTGCCGGCGCTGTTTTGCTCTCGACTAGGAGTTGTCTGAATTGGAGTTGTCTAGCGCTGCAATTCCGGCGAATTGGAGTTGCCGAAAAAAGAGAGATGAAAAGGGGGAATTTTGGGGAAGAAGGCAAGTGATGAAAAGACTAAGAAAAAAAGGAAATTGAAAAAAAAAAATTAAATATATTGGGTGGCATGCTTGGAGGCACACGTGGTGCCTCTTTAGCATTCTCCTAGTCAGGAAGGTATGGGCCTGGTTTGGATACTGGCAATTGATCGACTGTTGGGTGATTATGTTGGCAAGTTTGAATAGCTAATTGAGTTAGATGCTTTGACCGGCTGTTTCTGTTAGCCGTTAAATTTTAAGTGTTTGGCAACTTTAGCTGTTTATAGTTAGCTGTTTGTAAGTAAAATTATATAAAAGGACATCCTTCCATTTATGTTAATTTGTATGCAATTTTTAATTTTTCTTTAATTTTCATAAAATACGCACATTATATAAGCAAATACTCTGGACATCCCTACATTTTTTTGGACAAAAAAGGCTAGTATATTTTTTTTATAATTTAAGAAATGAAAATTTACATTTATATTTTATAGTTTCTTTATCCCCAACACATTCAAATAAACTACAACCAAATATTCTGTTTTTTTCTATGGTTTTACAACAATAAGATACGAAGTAAAAGATGAATTGTATGATCCTTGATTAGAGGAATTTTGCCCAGGAGGTTAATTCCAAAGAAGAAAAAGTCAAAAACCACTAAAACAAACAATAAATTAATTTTAGAAACGAAGAAGGGTGATTTAGGGTTTTAAATTTTTTCTCAAATCAAGAATGGCCCATGGGATAAAACTGCAGAGAAGCATAAAGGGTAAGAAATGGAAAAAATTTTCCAAAAAATTTTGGATGGTTCTACAACAATTAGATGTGAAAAACAAAATTGCAGAGAAGCCTAAAGGGTAAGAAATGGAAAAAATTTGCCAACTGCTGCATGAAACCCTCCTATGGTTGGCTTTTCATTTTTTGGCAGTTCAGTTTTAAATGCTAAATCCAAATGCCATTACCCAAACAATGTATTTGACCGTTTGACTAGTCCAATCAGCCATTTATGGTCAAAGATGCCAAATGCCAGCTGAATCGCCATTTAGCAAACAGGGCCATGGTGTTTGTTTTTGTGTAGCTCTTTTGTGATGGGTTGTGGTAGGGTGTACAAAATTCGGGTCGGACTCGAAACCAGACTAGATCGCACGAGAAAATCTTGTTCCAATATAGACCACAAAAATTTGGACAGTCAAACCCCTAACTTTCGTATTGGATTCCCACGCTAAATACGTCGTTAGACTCGTTTCGTCGACCTTTAGTTAGAGTACAAATTTGACTATTAAAAATCAACTTTACAACTAACTTATATTTAACATTATTATCGTTTAAAATTTTATTTTTATTTTATTTAGATATGATATTATAATTATATTTTATCAGAAATTTGTTATAACTTTTAGCTTCTAATGTGAAGAGTGAAAAATTAAATAACCAAATACATTCGACCTTTTTTTATTAATAAAAAAAATTTTTGTAAAGTTTTTTTAAATCATTGATCAGAATTTTTTTCCCCATATGTTTTGGTGATTTGGTCATTATGATTTTATACAAGAAGTTAACATATTGACACCTTTTTCTTTATAAAAATTTAAAAAGTAGCAAATCGTTTTGATCCTTTGAATTCCAAAATACATTTTAAAAAAATAACAAGTTAGTCTTAACATTATTTCTTCTTGATCAATTTTTTTTGAAGAAACCTAATACCCATCTTTTTTTACATATTACTTTTTTTTCTTCTCGATCACCCGATCCGAAATAAAACACATCATTCATCTAGGTCTGCAGCCCATTCTAAATTTATTTCTTATTTCAGTAAATAGCAAAAAAAATGATTATTGAATAAAATATTTTATTCTCCTTATGTATATAAATTTCTAAGATTTTTTTCCAATTGGCTCACTAACCTTAGCTTCTTTTATCTTCTCTTTTTTTTTTTACAACAAAACTTTCAAATCTAAGCCAAATTAGCCTTGTGGATCTGACATCTGATGACTGCGAGTTAAAACGTACGTATGAGATCCACAAACTATCGTTCCGAAGGGACAAGGATGCCACCCACCCATCAGAGAACTCCTACGTTGGTAAAGTCGTGTTGTAATGTGTTATCTAAGTGTCTCTTATTAAAGTAGCTAGCCTTAAGTCTTGACCTAGAATATCTTATGAGCATGTGATAGAGATTGATGAGCTATTGTAAGAACATGATATGTATGTTGAGATGATAACAAATGCAGTCGAATAATCAAGGTAAGTAACATGAAGTGTGATTTGTTATGATATTGTTGATATTATTTAATGTAGTTATGTGATACTACTTTTGCAATGAATGATTATGTAGTTATGTAATACTAGTGTGTAGTTTATTTTACTTGCTAGACGTAGGTAAGATGAATGAAGATTATGGAAACAATCCTTGGTGGCAGCATGGACAAAGAGATGGATGGATGCTGGCGGAAGAGTTTACTTAATTAAATATTTAAGTATGAATTTATTACTCCCTCCGTTTGAAAAAACTCTTCCCATTTGATTTGGGAGCAAAAATAAGGAAATGTTAAATTATAGTTGATTTTCAATTTTGCCCATGATGTGATGAGTAAAAGTAAGATGTGATGGATAGATTATTAGAGAAAAAGTATGATGTGTTGTATTTTGATTTAAGTACTTAAGCTTCCGCACCAGGCCGGTTAATGTTTAATTAATGTTTTGGAACATTTATTTTGAATTATTTTAAAAATTATTGTGTTTCAATGTCAATCTAGTGATCATAACCCGATCTACTGTTTGGTGTATTTGGATTATGCGGGTCGGGGTGTTACTCTGTACTACGCATTAAAGAGGTACAATCCCAACTAGGACTAAGAATTCATAATAAAAGATGACTAATGATAGAATTTAGGATGTGAATGGGCAACTGGATTGGGCAATAAGACACTTTAGTTGAACGACATTAAAAGATTGAATCTAATCGATTGGTTAGTTAAACTCAAAAGCTTATATACTGATTATTTTGCTCTAGAACTTCCGATGTGGGATGACACTCTAACACTCCCCCTCAAGTGGACAACCGGGCCATTTTGAATCTAACCGATTGACTACTTGCAAATGAACTCTCATTCCCTTGATTTTTTTTATTTGAGCGCCAACACCTTAAGGACCACGAACCGCTGGGTATGGACTACAGACGAGCAATCGTGTTAAACGGGCCACAGGCCGTTGGGTACAAACTCCATACGGAGAACAGGGCTAAAGACTAACGGGCCGCTAGGAATGAACGTCTAGACAAACACCTTGACAAACAAGGTGGGCTAAAACCTACTCTGATACCATGTGAAGGAACTCATTCAACCACAAGCTCAAGCTTGTGATTGTGGCCCAGAAACAGTTATTTATATTCTAACACGCCCCCTCACGTGCAGGCGTAGTCTTTTTCGAGTCTTGCACGTGAAACCTTATTTTTTTTAAACTGGATGGCGTTGAGTTTTGAACCTGTGACCTCTTAGTCAACGATGTTCTGATACCATGTAAATTAAGTACTCTCTCTAGCCTATAAAATGTTTCCACATTTGAATTCACATGAATATTAAAAAATGTGAAATTATGTAGCTGAAAACGATGAAGAGGATAGAGGAATTGTAAGAGCCACAAATTATTTTCTGAAAATAAAAAATATGTTTTTTGAATCAGATAAAAAAGAAAGTATAAAACTTTTTTTATGAGACCGAAAATGGTCAAAACATAATAAATACTTTTTCCATTTCAAATTAATAGCTCTCATTTTTCAGGACGTCCTAAAAAAATACTCCCCCGTAGTTATCTTTTTCCATTTTGGAAAACTTTTGTGCCTCATATCTTTTTGCCGTTTTTGCTCCCTCTGAAAACTCAATTCTATTTTTAAAAACTCTCTGTTGAATAAAATGTGTACTACTCCTTGCATTTTTTTAAAAAAACATGAACATTCACTTCTTACTCGTCTCGTACAATATTTCAATTTCGATCGTCTAAATAGACACAATTACCCTTACTTTTCTTAAATCTAATCAAACATATCTCAACTATCATCTACGTTCTACCGATTTTGACATTTCTCAAATCCAACTTGTTTCAATTATCATCGTTTTTTCTTGGTCAAACTTCGATATATCTCCCTTTCAAAAGTCAAAAGTGAAAAAGTTTTTCGGGTAAATTTGGATGAGTATAAGAAAAGTGGGCAAAACTTGGGCAGTCACCATCTTTATATGCTTCAATTTCTCACCAGCATCCCAACACTCCCCCCGCCTACTTATATGCCACCCTAAAGATTGCTTCATTATATTCCCCCCCGCCCTAAATTCTCTCTCTCTCTCTCTCTAGTCGGACGCTTGAGATAAGGCTGCCGGCGTTTTTGTGAAACCACAAAATATTTTTTTCCACACCAAAAATCAAAGTCTTATTAATATTAATATTATTCATATTATTTTCAATTATTATTATTATTATTATTATTATTATTATTATTATTATTATTAGAAAAGGTTTTGGCGGAAGGGTTGGGTGGAAGACTGGAAGAGGCGACGGCACGAAATCTTCCAGAAGGTATGGATGATTATTATTATTATTATTATTATTATTATTATTATTATTATTATTATTATTATTATTATTATTATTATTATTATTATTATTATTATTATTATTATTATTATTATTATTATTATTATTATTATTATTATTATTATTATTATTATTATTAGGTCATTCTTGACCTATATTTTTTACTCCTTAAATGCCCTCCCTCCTTTTTTCTAATAAACCATTATCATTCATTAGTTTTTTTTTTTTGCATTTCCTTTTACGACTATCATCAAACCTAATTAACTAGCGAGTAAAAGCCAAAAGGGCCTCTCAATTTCTTCTTTTTTGTTCATAAATCAATATAATACTCCCACTCTTGATTCTTCATTTTTGTTCATAATTTAAGACTCGATCACTCTTATTCTATCTTGGAATCAAAATTTAAATTTTTTATTCTGATATTTTTTCTATGTTTTATTCTAAATTTTTTAAGAGTCTTGGATATTTTGCAGGAAGGTAAAGATATAAAAAAAAATAGGAATATATGGCGGCGTCATCATCCACGTCATTGTCGTCGGCGGGAACGACGAGCTCGACGGGGTCGCCATGCGCGGCGTGCAAGTTCCTGCGGCGGAAGTGTCAGGCGGAGTGTGTGTTCGCGCCGTACTTCCCGCCGGACCAGCCGCACAAGTTCGCGAGCGTGCACAAGGTGTTCGGGGCGAGCAACGTGACGAAGCTGCTGAACGAGCTGCCGCCGCACCAGCGGGAGGACGCCGTCAACTCCCTCGCCTACGAGGCCGACATGCGCCTCCGCGACCCCGTCTACGGCTGCGTCGGCGTCATCTCCCTCCTCCAGCACCAGCTCCGCCAGCTCCAGCTCGACCTCTCCTCCGCCAAATCCCAGCTCTCCAACCTCCACCACCACCACACCCTCATCGGCGGCGGCGGCGCAAGGGAGAACCACCACCACCACCAGTTCCTCTTCCCCGTGATGAGAGAGAATCATACCACTATTAATTATCATCGTCAACTGCAACAACCCTCCTCCACCTGCTTCATCAATAACTGCGACCCCGGCGCCCTTCTCGCCATGAACATGAACTCCGCCGGTATTGGGCCGTTGGGTCAGTTTCAGCCGCCTCAGGCCGCCGGTGCCGACGGCCGACGAACTCCCGTGGACCCATCTTAATTACTTTGTATACACTCCGCATCATTATAAACCACCTCTATTTCACAATATTATGTAGTCCTAATTTTTTGGGAGGAATTTACTTAAATAGCACTAAAACACAATGACTTTCCCTAAATAGCACAGTACCACGTGTTTTTTTCCTAATGTAGCATTTTTAGTCATTATGCATTAGTCATTATTCAAGCAAATATTCGTCATCACTCGACATTATGGACATTATTAAGTACTATTTAGGAAATAAAATAATTTAAGTGCTATTTAGGAAAATGACCAACTTTAGTGCTATTTAGTCCAAGCATGTTATAAATTTTTTTTATCATAATTCCATCTAAAATGTTTAAAATACATTAAATTGTGTAGTTTATTGTAGGTAAAAGTTATTTTGAGAATGTTTTAGATATTTTAAATATTGTAAAAATGTTTTATGCGATTTGCAAAACAATTAGGACGACATAGTTTTTTGAAACGGAAGGAATATATAATTAAGGTATAGATAATATTAATTAATTACATAATGAATTCCGTTCGAATTGATGACGATGATTTTTAAATAGTTCGATCTTTTTTCTATCCGTTAATTATGTTAAGAGTCAGTTATTACTTTTGACTCTAAAATTAAACACTACATCCAAGATGAATTTACTTAAATAACACTAAAACATAATGACTTTACCTAAATAGCATAATACTCTCTCTGTCTCTGGAAACCTTTCTCCTTTTTTTTTCATCCGTTCCAAAAAACACTTCTCATTTCTATTAAAAAGTCACTTTACCCCTTACTTTTTCATATCTTACCTATCACATCATACTTTTTTACTACTAATCTATCCATCAAATCATACATTTACACATCACATCAAAGGACATTTTTGGAAATTCAATACCAAAATTCACTCCCCTTAAATCCCTCTTAAAAATCAAAACTCCCATGTTTTTCGGGACGGAGGGAGTATGTTTTTATTTCCCAATGTAGCTTTTGTAGTCATTATCCATTAGTCATTATTGAAGTAAATGTTCACCATCATTGGACATTATTTCTCTTTCTATACATTATTAAATGCTATTTAGGGAATAAAAAAGTTTAAGTCATACATTGAGAAATGACTTATATTTTAGTGATATTTAGTGTAATTTTTTTTATGTTAAACGTATAGTATATCGCTTCTCCGTACTTCAAATTTGTATTCATTCCCAGTATGTAAATAATGTCACTGTAGGTAATGGATAATTGGATATACAGAGTATATTTTTTCTAGTAAATATCAGTTATTTTATCACTAATGACTTTAAAATTCTTGTAGTACTTTGGGTAATTTTTTAAAATTATACGGAGTATTTTTTTACTCCGTATTAAATTGAATCAACAGTTTAATGAGAAATACTAAAGTAACAAAAAGAAAACCAACACAACAAACAAATTTGGCATATGCAAATTTGAAATTAATATCCGACTAATTACTTGAGACCATTTTTTTTTTTGAAAATTTATAAACAAATGAAAAATCTGTGCTTCCTCCTTAGCATTTCTCTAGTTTAATTGGTACTGTTCGCATGCATGCGTCATACCTACTGCAAATGCTGTTAAAAGCACGCCAAAAATGGGATGGAATTCGTAACGAAACATTAATAATGAGATTGCAAGTGCAGCTATATATGTATGTATGTATGTATGTATGTATATATATATGTGTATATATATGTATGTGTGTGTGTGTGTGTGTGTGTGTATATATATATATATATAAAACTTGAATAATGTCTATTATTGGCGGAAACAATGTCCAGTGATAGTAGACATTTACTTGAACAAAGACCAACGAATATTGAATAGATGTACTGAATTAGAAACAAAAAACATATGGTATAACATTGAGAAAATCATTATATTTTAATACTCACTCCGTCCTAGAAAGAGAGGGACATATTGACTAAAATGGTAAAATAAAGGAATGATAATTTTGTATTGACTTTCCAAAAAATATCCTTGATGTGATGTGTAAAAGTTAAATGTGTTGTGTAAATTGTTAGAAACATGTATGATGTGATAGATATGTTATGAAAAAGTAAAGAGTAAAAGTGGTTTTTTAATATATTGGAAAGGAGATTGTGGGACATCATTTTTTTGAAATGTGAAGGAGTTTTTGGGACGAAGAGTGTACTATTTATTAGGTAAGTTTTCCGAAAATAAAATGATTGAAATTGGAGAGGAAATGAAAATAATTGTTGTTTGAATGGATAGATAGTCAAGAGAAAATGAGAGGAGCTAGAAAAGAAAATGTAGCAAGACTATATTATTTTATAAAATAAGTAGTCAAAATAAGCAAATAAATAATGTTAGTTAAGGTTGACATGTGAATTGAATAATGTCAGGAAAATCTATGAGATACGATGAGAATACTATTTTTGATCGGATGGCACAAAAAATTACATTAATCCAATATATTCCAAAATTAAATTTTAAAATCAATCATGTTACATATACCTCAAATTAAAGATTGTATCTCAAAGGGAACCTCAAAACTTTTACACTTATATTCGGGAATAAAGTAAATTAATTTATTATTTAAAAATAATCAAATGAGAATAAAGTACTTCATAAAAATTTTTTGAGTAAACGTGATAAAAAATATAAAACTGACCAGATAATCATGAAAATTTAATGTAGATAATAATTATCGCATGCATGGGTGCTAAATAACATACGCATTAAAAGAAAAAGAGAATAATTGTGGAGAAACTTGACCGCCAGCTAGCTTGGGCCTCAACTATGTCCTCATTTTCCTTTGTTACCTATTCGCATATTTTCTTTTTAGGAAATTAGAAAGGTCAATATATGTCAACTAAAAATCATATATGGTCAATATAGGTCAACGAAAAACTTTTAATATTTTAGCACATTTTCTCATGTGTAAATTGGTGCTTCGAGCTTTGCACGTAAATATTTAATTATATTTTTAAAGTTTGATGACTCTGATGAGTTCTAAGCCTGTGACAATAATTTGACTACTTTGGTGGTTTTTTTTAAAAAAATTTGACCCTATATTACAAAAAAAAATACATTAATTTTTCATATAAATTCAAAATCAATAGATTAGTTTTAAAACACAATTTTGAAATATTTTATGTTAATAATATATATTTTTATATAAATTATAATATTAATGATCAGAGTTTTGCGACTGTAAAAGTGAAATGAGAAGTTAATTTTAGGATGTTTGAAGTATTATGATAGAATTTAGGATGGGGTATGGACAACTGGAGTGGGCAATAAGACACTTGGGTTGAACCACATTAAAAGATTGAATCCAATCGATTAGTTAGTCCAACTCAAGAGCTTATATACCGGTTATTTTACTCTTGAACTTCCGATGTGGGATGCACTCTAACACTCCCCCTCAAGTGGACAACCGGGCCATTTTGAATCTAACCGGTTGACCACTTGCAAATGAACTCCCATTCCCTTAACTTTTTTTTTTGAGCGCCAACACCTAAAGGACCATGAGCCGCTGGGTATGGACTTCCAGACGAGCAATCGTGTTAAACAGGCCACAGGCCGTTGGGTACAACATCCATACGGACAACTGGGCTAAAGACTAACGGGCCGCTAGGAATGAACGTCTAGACGGACACCTTGACAAACGAGGTGGGCTAAAACTGGCTCTGATACCATGATAGAATTTAGGATGGGGTATGGACAACTGGAGTGAGCAATAAGATACTTGGGTTGAACCACATTAAAAGATTGAATCCAATCGATTAGTTAGTCCAACTCAAGAGCTTATATACGGGTTATTTTACTCTTGAACTTCCGATGTGGGATGCACTCTAACATATTATTCATCAACAAGGCTTCAGTATCACATCAAGGAACCAAACTCAACCAAAGGTTGTAAGCCAATAAATTGTTTTTATATTCTAAAAATCTATTGTGATAATTTTTTCTTTTACACAAGTTTCAATATAATAATGTATATACATACAATTTTTCGTATTTCTTAAATTCCCTGAAAAACAAAAATGGACTTTAAAATAGGGATGGAGATAGTAGTATATATTCCACTATATACAAACCCTAATAAATTTAACAGTGGGAGGAGGTAGCCAAGCTGTGACCTACAGCATGCATTAAATAGGAGGGCAGTGAAGTTTCAAAATCATCAAGTTGGGAGGTATAAATTAAAAAGAAAAGAGGATGAACTTCATTTCTCAGGTCCCTCCGAATCGTTTGAACGATCACGCGATACGAGGTAAAATGTGATTTAATAACAAATTGATAGCAAAAAGTAAAATCTGATCTGCACCTGATACTTACTAAGACTTAGCTTTATGCGTGACAGTTGACATAATTGTCTCCCACATCCAGAGGTATAGTTACCTTTCTCCGTCCCGTAAAACATTTCCTATTTTGACTTTTTAGATGGGAAACTGTAGAAGTTTGACCAAGGTAAAACGACAACAGTTGAAACGGATAGTGTTCGGGAAATGTCAAAATGGATAGGACGTTGAAGGTAGTTAATGCAGGTTCGGTTAGATTTAAGAAGAGTAAAGGCAAATGTGTCTATTTAAATCAAATTAATATACTCCCTCCGTCCCAAAAAGTCTTTCTCCTTTCTTTTTTCATCCGTCCCATAAAACACTTCTCATTTCTATTAAAAAGTCACTTTTACCCCTTACTTTTTCATACCCTACCTATCACATCTTACTTTTTTACTAATAATCTACCCATCAAATCCTACTTTTACCCATCACATCAAAGGATATTTTTGAAAATTCAATACCAAAATACACTCCATTAAATTTCTTCAAAAAACAAAACATCCCATGTTTCATGGGACGGAGGGAGTATTTTATAAGACAAATAAGATGTGAAAATTAAAAAATTTTACGAGACGAAGGAAGTATAAATAAATAAAAAAAAAGGTGGAAGGAAGAAAATGAAAACATAAAGTATGAAAGTAAATATACACAAAGACATACATATGTAGTTAATTGTGGAAATGCAATGATGACCTTTTAGCATGGCTTTAAATGGTCTTCCTTCCTTCCTTCACTATGTCCCAGCTGACATATTATCTCTGCTCTGCATTGGTAGCTGCTGCTGCTATATATGCTTTCCCTTCGTCGTTTCTCATCTAGCTGCATTTATATAGCTTAGTCCGATCCTTTAGTATGTACTACTACTATACTATACGTACTTCATTTCATTTCATTTCATTTCTAACCCCCCTACCATTTCTCCTACATACAAGCTGCAATATTACCCCCCAAACTTGCATCATATATTAGGTACTACTTCTTCCGTCCCATAAAGATATTCTCAATTTAATTTTGGGGAACTTTCTCAATGTAGAACTATATGTTTTTATTTCTCAATGTAAGATCGTTGGTCATTATCCATTAGTCATTATTCAAGTAAATGTCTACCATCACTTGACATCATTCCTCCCGCTAGACATTATTAAATACAATTTAGAGGATAAAAAAGTTTAAACCCTATATTAGAAAACCACCTGGCAACCGGGTCAATCGGTTCGGTTCCAATTCGGGTCAGTTAGATTCCAGGTTCATTTCGATTTGACTGGTTTTTTTATTTTGATTCGGTTTCGGTTCGAGTTTGTATCGATTCGAGTTTATATCGGATCGGGTTTATATCGGTTTGGGTTTGTATCGGTTCGGTTCTGGTTTGGGTCCTAATTGGTTCGGGTAAAATCGGATTCGGATCTAAATCGGGTCTGAATACATTCGGTTTGGTTTGGATCATTTTGGGAGTTCGGTTCTATTTCGATTTTTCAGTTTTCAGGTCGATTCAGGTTCATTTCTGGGTTATTCGGGTCAGTTTTGCCAGGTCTACTATTTCTCTGTCCCAGAAAGCATTTCCCATTTTAAGTTTTTCCGGTCAAACATTGACACTCTTTGACCATAAATTAAACATAATATAAATAAAGAAATGTTATACAAATTTGATATATCAAAACTATATCCTAAGATGAATCTGATTATATTAAATTTATATCATAATTTAATACTCCCTCCGTCCCAGAAAACCTTTCTCCTTTCTTTTTTCATCCGTCCCAAAAAAACACTTCTCATTTCTATTAAAAAGTCACTTTTACCCTTTATCTTTTCATACCCTACCTATCACATCATACCTTTCTACTAATAATCTATCTATCAAATCATACTTTTACCCATCACATCAAAGGACATTTTTGGAAATTCAATACCAAAATACACTCCCCTTAAATCCCCCTTCAAAATCAAAACTCCCCTGTTTTTCGGGACGGAGGGAGTATACTTTTCTTACAATTTGTAGTCGAAAAATATCACTGTTTGACTGAAAAAATCAAAATGAGAAATATTTTTTGAGACGGGGAGTGCACAAACTTCACTACTCCCTCCGTCCGAAAATATTCTTCCCATTTGACTTTTCTTGGTCAAAATTTTTAAACTTTGACTATGATATGTGGAAAAAATACATTGTATTACAATATAAATTTAATATGAATATATTCATTTTGAAATATAGTTTTCAAATATCAAATTTTTATAAAAAATATCTATGTATAAATAAAGATATTAGTGGTCAAAGTGCAATCTTGAAGACCATAAAAAGTCAAATGAGAAGAACATTTCCGGACAGAGGGAATATATACTTTGGCATTTGGGGATGGAAAAAAGGAAGAGAAGTAAATGCAAAGGAGATGGATGGAGATGATACATAAAAAGGGGTTCAGAAAACAACACATCGATCGAAAGAACACATCCTTAGACAGGTCAGTCGTCGGTCATCATCATCATCATTATTTATTATTATTATTATTACATCCCTTCTGTCCCTCTCCTTGTATATGCGTCCCGTACTACTTACTACTAGTCTACTTCTATACTCTCTCCTGTCCCCACCACCGTCCACCTAGCCCCTCTCTTATCAGAACGTGAGACCATGTAAATCATGGTGACTCAATCATCAATAAAGACTGGGATCGATTCTCACTGCGCACAAAGAAATTAAATTTCTCTCATATTTTGAGAGGTTGCTCTCGCAATGCCGGTGGTGAGGTTCGATCTTTGGTCTCTTATTCAAAATTTCACTTCTGAGACCAGTTGAGATGCCCATGCGGCCGGGTCCAATCTTCTTTATTTTAATTTCTCTATTCAATTAATTACCCTTTTTCTCTTTTTAATTTTTCTTTTTTTTTTGGAGGGGGGTAGTCAATGGTGGAAGTCAATTCTTTTCTTCTGTTTTTTCTCCTACAAATTTGTGTGAATAATTACGAACAGTTTTAGGTGCAGGGGTAGGTGTCTTTAGCACTAAATGTAAGCAGCTGAATGCTGATGAGCAATTAATTTTCGAAGAAAAAATAAAAAGAGATTGAAAGAAACGTATAAAGGTTAACTAACTGTGACGACCTTTCACGAATGCATGCGCAGTATGTACGTAGTCAGTCTTCCACACACAAAAAAAATAAATGGTTGGTTTACAGTGAGTCTAAAAACAAAGCTTCATTTTTATACGGACGGAGTATAACTCAGTTTCTCCTGCATGCTTCTATTTGTTCTTGGGGGGCAAACTATAGCATATAGTCTTACTTTCATTTATGTTAAAAAAAACCACCGTGGCTCGTTCATTGGCTCAAGCCGAATATCATGCTATGGCTAATGATTGTGCTAAACTTCGATGGATCCGTAGATTGCTCACCGTCCTGTCCGTGTCGTTCGTCTCCACTACGAAACTGTATTGCGACAATAAATCTGCTTTAATTTGTTCATCGCCCCATCCACTTTTCCGGTTTTTGCTATATATTGTTGGGATTTTAAGCGCTAAGACTATTAAAATATCAAGAACGTGAAAAATAAATAACACACTACACAAGAAGAAAATATGAGAAAAAAATTATATCTTCACTATTTCAGAACGATACACAAAAAATTCTCCCTGTTTACAAGTGCTAAATACCAGACACTTATAGACAGACTTTTCACACCCTACACCCGGATGTATTTTTTCGAGTAACTAAAATCAGTTACTCCCTACACTCACTCACACAATGTTGGTGATATCTTGTGTAGACCTCTCTCTTAACCTTCCTCTTTTTCCTTAGTCGTGTGTATGCTTACTAAGAAGACCATGCATGGCTTTTAAAGCCAAAGGAAGTACTCCTGCAAATGACCACAAGCACAAGAGTCCAAAATTTGATTCCCTTCCATAAAAAAAATTCACACGCAATTTGATTCCTTTGATTTCTTTCTTTTCCTTTTTTTTTGTTTCTTTTGATTATTTAATCAAATATCCCAACAAACTCCACCTTGATTAATTAATCAAACCATGGTCCGGCTCCACCCCGCTCGTTCCGGCGAGGTCACAGTCTCCACCAACTTGAGAAGCTTCAAATGTCACCCGCTTCTTCCATGCAAATGCTCCGCTCGTTGCACTTGTAAATTTTCCGTCTGACAACTTCCGTGTCAAATCTTTTCCTGCAAGTTTATACAAGCCCTTTGACAAAACTCCTTTTGCTACCACCATTGCTCCCCTTGAAATTACACTCCACTTTGAGCAAAAATTCGGCAGCCTTTTGAATCTAAAGCCCCCAATGAAATCAAATTTCCTTTTAGACCTGGTACATGTTTCACTCCAGTTAATGTTCTCACCATGCCATCAAACATGCGAACTTGCACTGTTCCGACCCCTGCAATTTTGCTCCGTGCACCATTTGCCATCTTCACAGCACCCCCATCACAAGTTTGATGCGTATCAAATTGTTCCTTAACTGAACACATGTGAAACGGACAACCCGAATCTAATATCCAATCCGATTTACCTAGACTCTTTATAGTTGCCAAAAACAAGTCTTCTTCACTTTCTTGTTTCGAACCTTCTGCAACCGCAGTCACGGGTGTTTTCCCGTCCTTCTTTTCCTTCCTCCTCTTTGGACAATCCCTTTTGAAATGACCCTCTTCATCGCAGTAGTAACACCAAAAGCTTTTATTACTCGATTTGAAGCGTTGGGACGCGCCGCCCCTCTCTTTAGACCGTCCTCGTTCCCGACCAGCTCCTTTTGCTACCAAAGCTTGACCGTCATTTGATACCCCGTTGCCACCCCGCCGAGTCTCGTTCATCAACAACGCAGCAACTACTTCATCAAATTTTAAGGTTTCTTTTCCAAACAAAAGCGTGGTCACGATGTTGTCAAAAGATGAAGGCAATGAAGCCAACAAAAGCAGCGCCTTGTCCTCCTCTTCAATCTTCACATCAATGGATTCCAACTCTGTTGTAATCTTGTTGAATTCATCCAAGTGTCCATTAAAGTTAGCTTCCT